TGCTAGGCCACCACTGGCCAGATTTCGCTTACGGCCTGCCAGTTCAATAATCCTGCATTAAGGCTTATTGGGTACATAGTGCCAGACCTATATTTTGTAGACTAATCGACACTCTGTGGGTAACGTGGTCAACACATCCGGTCTTCTTCACTGCTATGGACTACCTAGTACTTGTTTTAGCCTTGGTCGGCCAGGAAGCCAGTCATTTTGGGGTGAAAATCTGACTCTTTAAGAAGAAAACTAATTTTTAACAAACCCAGAAAAATAGTTCCCAAATTAGGCAATATTTTATCTCAACAGTGTCTGACAGATGTACAAGATAATGTTAACATGGCAATTTTTAGCTCAATAATCCCAACTCGTGCCTACCAATCATTCACACATATATATAAAGCAAGTATCACTTTATAAGTTTTTGGTGCTATATTACTAGGGAAAATCCACAGGTCACGGGATAGTCTAATATTTCAGGGGGTGGTAGATAGGCTGCATGCAGTCGTGGGACCTCGGTTTCATGCAGTCGTGGGACCTAGGCTGCACTCTCTCGTGGGATGTAGGTGGGTTAGTGTTAGGGCCAGTTCTAGATGTTTTGAGGTCGTTAAAAGCTTCAGAAAGCCGGGAAACCCAGTCTTACCACCCTCTAAAATGTTGGACTGTCCTGTGACGTTTTCTGGGGTAAGATTTTAATAAAGAACTTAACTTTTTCAGTAGTTGAGTCTGTGGCCTAGCAGTAGCATTCTTTCAATGCCAGTCAGTCAATAAGTGCCATGTTCACTACAATCAATGGTCAGCATTTTGTCACATGTTCTAGTCCATTTCTTGATGCTATCTTATGTTATTTACCAAATATATCCCTATTGTTCAGTTGTGATGCTATCTCCTGACTTGAATTACAGCCTGCCTCTTGTTCAGTTGTGATGCTATCTTCTCACTTCTGCTACAGCCTGCCTCTTGTTCAGTTGTGATGCTATCTTTTCACTTCTGCTACAGCCAGCCTCTTATTCAGTTGTGATGGTTTCTTCTCACTTCTGCTACAGCCAGCCTCTTGTTCAGTTGTGATGCTATCTTCTCACTTCTACTACAGCCTGCCTCTTGTTCAGTTATGATGCTATCTTCTCACTTCTACTACAGCCTGCCTCTTGTTCAGTTGTGATGGTTTCTTCTCACTTCTGCTACAGCCAGCCTCTTGTTTAGTTGTGATGCTATCTTCTCACTTCTACTACAGCCTGCCTCTTGTTCAGTTATGATGCTATCTTCTCACTTCTACTACAGCCTGCCTCTTGTTCAGTTGTGATGCTTTCTTCTCACTTCTGCTACAGCCTGCCTCTTGTTCAGTTGTGATGGTTTCTTCTCACTTCTACTACAGCCTGCCTCTTGTTCAGTTGTGATGGTTTCTTCTCACTTCTACTACAGCCAGCCTCTTGTTCAGTTGTGATGTTTTCTTCTCACTTCTACTACAGCCAGCCTCTTGTTCAGTTGTGATGTTTTCTTCTCACTTCTGCTACAGCCAGCCTCCTCTTATCTTCTCACTTCTGATGTTCTATCTATCTTCTCACTTCTGCTACAGCCTGCCTCTTGTTCAGTTGTGATGTTTTCTTCTCACTTCTACTACAGCCTGCCTCTTGTTCAGTTGTGATGGTTTCTTCTCACTTCTACTACAGCCTGCCTCTTGTTCAGTTGTGATGTTTTCTTCTCACTTCTACTACAGCCTGCCTCTTGTTCAGTTGTGATGGTTTCTTCTCACTTCTACTACAGCCTGCCTCTTGTTCAGTTGTGATGCTATCTTCTCACTTCTACTACAGCCTGCCTCTTGTTCAGTTGTGATGCTATCTTCTCACTTCTACTACAGCCTGCCTCTTGTTCAGTTGTGATGTTTTCTTCTCACTTCTACTACAGCCAGCCTCTTGTTCAGTTGTGATGCTTTCTTCTCACTTCTACTACAGCCTGCCTCTTGTTCAGTTGTGATGCTATCTTCTCACTTCTGCTACAGCCAGCCTCTTGTTCAGTTGTGATGGTTTCTTCTCACTTCTACTACAGCCAGCCTCTTGTTCAGTTGTGATGCTATCTTCTCACTTCTACTACAGCCTGCCTCTTGTTCAGTTATGATGCTATCTTCTCACTTCTACTACAGCCTGCCTCATGTTTAGTTGTAATGTTTTCTTCTCACTTCTACTATTGCCTACATATTATGCTCTTATTCAGTTTAGTCCCAAAAAGTTTTACAATTTCCCAAAAAAGGAAATAATCACTAGGAAAATTCACTTTTGCATTATTTTCAAATAGTCTAATTTAAAAACTGGAAAGCCGCTGAGGAAGTCAAATGTGTTTTTAAGCACGCTCTGGCCAAATGTTAAACGTAAGAGAACACATATAGCACTGATTGCAATACAAAGGAAAAGCCAGTTAAATATCAGGTATTGCATGGCTTGAGACCGAAGGAGTTAACATAATCAAAATATTTGATTTCGCTCTTTATTTCTTTATTGGGAGTCCCTGTCAAAAAGTGGTTAAACTGCTAGCCACTCACTCTAAGGTTGTGAGTTCAAGTTTGGACTTTGTCTCATAAATACAGGTGTTTAGATCAGGTGTCATAAGTGGAGCTACAAAGTTTCATGCTTTGTGCAACTATCATAGAAGGTGACTCTCTACAGAGAGAGAGAGAGAGAGAGAGAGAGAGGAGAAGAGAGAGAGAGAGAGAGAGAGAGAGAGAGAACGCGAGAGACCAAACCAACTTGACTAAAAACCTGGCGTAGTTACCTACATCCTGTAGCTCTGGTGCCCCATTTTACGATGAAAAAAGATTAGACCTAGTGACCCTCTAATTAGCATATCATAAAAGGCTAATAATTAGGGTTGTTTCCTTCAAAGTTGGAGTGCATCTGCTTGAGAGTAGAGGAACCAACAGCCTGCACACAAAAATAAGCCAGATCTATCAAATGGATGTGTAAGCAAAACTGAAGTTTTGGAACAAGATCAAAGTCAAGAAGTGGATGAACAACCAGAACTTTCCATCTCAGTTTACTGCTGGTGAATGTTATGGAGAAGTAGTCAATTCCCTCGCCTTTAAACACCTTTTAAATATTATTTCTTCTATTGATTCTCCCTTCCTTATCAGTTTCTCTAAAAAATCTTTCTCAGCATGAAAGTACATCATTTAACCGGGCATGGAGAATGTTAGTCTCCTTGGATCAACAACAAAAGAAGAATATGTTTGCATAATTATCACTTAAATTTAAAAAAAATAAACATTGCAAAGATGCCCATATTTCTAGGATAATGAGTAAAGATCATGAGTATAGTCTGAATATTCTTTAAATTTTTTCCTGCTTTTTCTCTACTTTTATCATAACCCAAAGGAAGCATGCCCTCAACCAGCTAATGTCAAGACCTTTTTTCTGTAGATTTATTCAGACCTTTTATCTGTAGATTTATTCAGACCTTTTATCTGTAGATTTATTCAGATCTCTTATCTGTAGATTTATTCAGATCTCTTATCTGTAGATTTATTCAGACCTTTTATCTGTAGATTTATTCAGAACTTTTATCTGTAGATTTATTCAGATCTCTTATCTGTAGATTTATTTATGAACAGCTGAATTGTGCATCTTAAATTTTTTGAGCTACTCAGTTTTAAAAATTACTGTACATTTCAGTGTATAAAATTCCCCCAATTTTTTTTTTTAGCTAAAAAAAATTATGAAATAAAGATTTTAAACACAATCTATGTATGAGACGACCCCCAGTTTAAAACTTAAAAAATCTGAGAAAACATCTTAAACATGGAAAAAACAGCACTAAATCTAAAAGTAGAAAGTTTGCCAACATTTTGATGATTATAAAAAGTAAAGTCGAGAGGATCAACTTCAATGCACTGGGTTTTGTCCCATATGGCTTAGTCTACCTACACCTGCAAGAGTGGCACACAAAGCATGAACTAACAGCTCTGGCAATGATCCCCAGGGATCCCTGTAATAATAGCATTCCTGAAGTGTAGTGCGCAGGCATGAAATGAACCCACAACCTTCAGAGCGTGAGGCAAACGGCTTGACCACTTCATCCCTGTGTGAGTTCCAAGACTCGACTGTAGGGAAAACAAAAAATATACACTCTGTTGACCCAAAAGAATATCATAAGATCAAATGATTTGGAGATTCCTTTGAATTCGGAATGCATCTGCCTGAGCGGCAAGGAACCAACAGTCTGCTTACACATGAGTCAGATCTGTAAAACAGATATGCATGCAACACTCAGGTTCTAGATCAGAAATAGAGTCTAGAAGTGGATAAACAACCAGAACTTTACGCATGAGTTTTTAGCAGGTGAATGCAAAGACGAAAATGCATGCCAGCGGTGTAGCGGGTATTTTATTTTTTTTTTAAAGACTAATGCGTGATGTGGTCAACATCCTGCTAGCCACCTTTACTTCCCAGGATTTTACCTGGTACCCATTTTAGGCAGCCAATGTCGGTTTTGAAAAAATCTGACTCGATGTAGATTTGAATCCCAGACGTTCAGCCGGCAGGCAAGTTTCTTCAGATGGGATGCAAATGTGGGTTTAGACTATCAGGAATGATGGATGGGATACTGGATTGCGGCAGCAGAGCCATAAACAACAGATACGGCTGTGTCAGCAGAATGTCAGGTAACAGGATCTATGGAATCCTTGGTTGAAAACCTGGTTTACCTTCCTTCAGTGGATCAATTCTCACAACTGAACTTCTGAATACAATTCAAACAAGGCACAAAATGGCCAAAGAGTAAAACAGAATCCAACTTGTGGTGAAGTGTAATTAGTCAACAAGAATGGTGGAGAACCAGTCAACAAAATCTTTATTGAATTTCAACTTGAAGTTCATGATGTCAAATTATATGTCTGTGTGGTCCAGCTAAGTATCACATACTTTATGTCATTCTGTCATTTATTATTACTATGTCTTTCAACTATCTAACAAGGAGAGACCAGGCCACCATCTTCAGACTCAGAACACAACATGTTCGACTCAATAGGTATATAAACACACAACATTTAACAATGTGTGTTCTACATCAAAGTGATCAGTTAACATTCTGTGTTCTACATCACAGTGATCAGTTAACATTCTGTATTCTACATCACAGTGATCAGTTAACATTCTGTGTTCTACATCACAGTGATCAGTTAACTTTCTGTGTTCTACATCACAGTAATCAGTTAACATTCTGTATTCTACATCACAGTGATCAGTTAACATTCTGTGTTCTACATCACAGTGATCAGTTAACTTTCTGTGTTCTACATCACAGTGATTAGTTAACATTCTGTATTCTACATCACAGTTTCGAGTTAACATTCTGTGTTCTACATCACAGTAATCAGTTAACATTCTGTGTGTACATCACAGTGATCAGTTAACTTTCTGTGTTCTACATCACAGTGATCAGTTAACATTCTGTATTCTACATCACAGTGATCAGTTAACATTCTGTGTTCTACATCACAGTGATCAGTTAACTTTCTGTGTTCTACATCACAGTGATCAGTTAACATTCTGTATTCTACATCACAGTGATCAGTTAACATTCTGTGTTCTACATCACAGTGATCAGTTAACTTTCTGTGTTCTACATCACAGTGATTAGTTAACATTCTGTATTCTACATCACAGTTTTGAGTTAACATTCTGTGTTCTACATCACAGTAATCAGTTAACATTCTGTGTTCTACATCACAGTGATCAGTTAACTTTCTGTGTTCTACATCACAGTGATCAGTTAACATTCTGTGTTCTACATCACAGTGATCAGTTAACATTCTGTGTTCTACATCACAGTGATCAGTTAACTTTCTGAGTTCTACATCACAGTGATCAGTTAACATTCTGTATTCTACATCACAGTTTCGAGTTAACATTCTGTCTTCTACATCAGGCAAAAGCCATCTAATTATCATTGGATGTCTGGGTCCCAAACAAGCCTGGTAACCTCACCTGCAAAACTTTCCACTCTGACCTCTCACCTTCCACAACTCACTGACAACTAGGATGTTGGTACACTCTCATGCATGTTTCAGGGCACTACTGAGCTGCCTAGATTCACACTCCCACACAAGGCAAATAATAAAAGCAGATTACATACTGCATCAGATTCGTGTGTTTAAAAAAATTAACGTAATTTACAATAAATGCAAACGTACAAACAATTTTACATTTATATCATTGTCTCTATAAGATTATTTTTGTTTATGATCACAAAACATTTTTTGTTTTGTTTCTCTCTTCAGATCTTGGATACTTGGTTCCGATAAACCCCAGCAATTAACATGAAACATTCATTACCATTTCGACATCTGACATTAATTAATGTTTATCATTTCATCTTCACTTCTATGACATTACTGTTTTTCCTATGATTACAACACATTTACATTTTTTTTTCTCTTCCAGTCTTGAATACTTACTTCCTTCAAGTCCACACCCAAAAATTAATTATATTACAAATATAAAACATTTATTACAATTTTGATTTGAATAATTTATTCCTAGTAGGTAAAAATCGTGTATCGGGTTGTTTTGATGATTTCATAGCTAAAGAACAAATTTTGAGCATTTGATCAAGAATATAGATTGGGACTAGCTTGTGTACTGGCAGGTAAATTACGTGATCAATCAAAAACTTGGCTTCGTGTGGATAGTGAGCATTCAGGGTGGCTTTGTCCTATAGCAAAATAAAAGAGAAAAGATTCACCATAAATTTTTATAATGAATTAAAAATAGTGATTTTAGACAACATATATTTTCTTTCTTTTTCTCAGTTTACCCCTAAATGTTGGCACAATGTGTTGTGTTTACAGCTAGGCTGAGATATCTGTGCCTTTTGGCCCAATTCAAATTAAATCCATTTTTTTTTCTTCCTCTTAAAGGGTCATTTAGCACAGGGTATTTTGGTCTATATATTTTTTGGTCCAACACATCGGATTTCAGCGGACTCCTGATAAGTCACCTTTTACCAGAAGCATGCTGGAAGCAGTGGATCTATGCCCTGCCCCATTCAAAACCCTGAATCAGTTGCTTTTTTACAAAATGCTTTTTATAGAGGCAGTGCGTCTATTAACCCCCCCCCCCCCCTCCAACGGAGCCTCAAAACCCAAACCGAGAAAATAATATACATCTAAAAACATTCTGTTGTAACATTCATTAACCAGTGGGTTTCAAGTTGTTAGAATCTGGCATTTAAAGTAATCTGTACAACCTGCAAAACACACAGCAATCTGGTAGTCTTAGTTTCAGCTTCATAGCAAACGGGTCACCCCATCTTTGCTGCGCTCCTGCGCCAACGAAAAACACACAGAATGTTTATCACAGTATTAGAATTGCAGTTCATCATTGATGGTAGTAGAAGTCGCCAACAGATCAGCAGTTGCCCACGTGATCAATTTTAATCACATACGGGCACCACAACACTGCACGACAGGCATCGCGCCATTTTCTGAATCTACAATTCACACTAACATGTTGGTCACAGTCAAAAAAACATTCCAAATGCAATCCGCAGCTCACAGGGTCACGCCATGCATTCAACTCAGAAGCTGGGCGACGAAACTATATCCAGTCTACAAATGGAGCAAAAATGCATCGGCTACCGTCCGGCAGAAGCAAAAAATTTGCCTCTGTTTTGAACAGTGCCACTGCCTAACGTTCATTTTGACCGGAATGCAATGCAACATACATATCATTGGCAGCAATGCAACATACATATCACTGTTAGCAATGTAACATACATATCACTGATAGCAATGCAACATACATATCACTGACAGCAATGCAACATACATATCACTGATGAGATCAATTTATGTAATTTTAAGTTGCTATTTTTCTTTATCTTCCTGTCATTTGGTGTCTAGCTCATTCAAGTTTAAGCTGCCCATGAATCTTTTATTCTTAGCTATCTACTCTCCACATGTGGGTTCCAGGGTCCGATTATGGGGAAAACAAGAATAGATCCACTGCCTTCCCAACAAGCATGACATAGGAGTCGACTAACTGGAAGCTTCTTTCAAACTTTCTTCTGCAGCATACAGCCACTGAACAAAGAAGAAGAAAAACAAGAAGCCATCTATTTTGTGTTCTCTGACATGCTTACATTTCTGTTTGCTTTTTTGTTTTCAACATGCAACCGAATATTTAAAATTCTGGTTCATGAAACGATTCAGTATACACATATTATATGTGAAAGCTGCAGCTGACTTCTTTGTGACAAATCAGTTAAGGAAATGAAGAAGGACTATCTATCTGCAGACAGCCGTGCACAAAATGGAACTCCATACCTCCAGTGATGATCCTCAGCAGTCTTCATTAAAAATTGTACCGTGAACTAAACGACACATGCATGAAATGAACCCATGAACGCCAGGTAAACAGTTCGAACACTTTCCCCCAGAGACCTCAACACACAAAAAGTGTGTTAGTTTGCCAACCTGGTAGGCTTGAAGTTCCCTTGTGGCAAATTTATCAAACTGACATGTGCCCACAGTGAGAGGAGGGAAACATTTTGGGAAGTAAAAGTGGCTGCCGTGATCTTGGCCACATCAGTCACAGACTGCAAACGGATCTATAAAGATATAGGGAGCAAGTACCACTCAGACTGGGCAGATAGGCTCTTGTCTTTTTTTTATGTATGCAGATAACCTCGGATTCATGTATGTTACATAGCTTTTTTTATGTATGCACACAACCTCTTTTTAACGTATGCACATAACCTCTTTTTAATGTATGCACACAACCTCTTTTTAATGTATGCACACAACCTCTTTTTAATGTATGCACACAACCTCTTTTTAATGAATGCACATAAGTTCTTTTATTATGTATGTAATAACCTTTTTTTTTATTATGTGTACATAACCATAAACTTTTTTTAAAATTATGTACATAACTTTTTTGATGTAAGTACATAACTATCAACTTTTTTTCTTTTTAGTGTATGTATATAACCTTTTTATGTATGCACATAATCTGTTTTATCTTCTTCTTCTTTTCTCTACTTCTGGAATGCCTCGCAGCATCAGGGAAAAAAGAGATCTCTGGAGCGGGCCTGTCTGTTCACTTCATATAAAGTATCAAATAAGGACATACACTTTTTTTTATGTATGTATATAATATCAGTATATATGTATGTATATAATAATATATATATAATAATTGATTATATTTTGATATCAACAAGATTCCGGAGCAGCTAAGTTGCAGCAAAAACTAGACCAGGAGCAGACTGCTTTAGTGACCATGTTCCAGTTGTAGGAAAAATTAGAATAAAACTAAAGAACATTAGAAAAACACCACAGAACATTAAGTTAAATTTAGGAATTCTTAGAACGGATAACGAAATTAAGGAACAGTGCAATGTCACTGTACAAAACCGGTATAATGCAATGGAAATTATACAGACTATTGATGAACAGTGGGATATATTGCATGAGTCAACTCAGCAGACATCAAAAGAGACAATCCTACCAACCCATAGAGTTGCAAAAAAAGAAATGGATGTCAACCGATATTCTGCAGTTGATGGATGAAAGAAGGAAGAAAAAATTATAAAGAGGAATACTCTAGAATACAAACGGAAATAGTGAACAAATGCAATGTGGCTAAAGAAGCCTGGCTGAATCAAATGTGTACAGAGATTGGGGAAAATCACAGGAAAGACTCACATTCCATGTACCGACAGATAAATATGTTAACAGGAAAGATGACACGTAACAGCACTGGATGTTTAAAATCAAAAGATGGTGACTTTTTAATGGGACATAGTAATATAATTAGCAGATGGACAGAGTATATAGGGGAATTGTATGATGATAATAGACCAGATGTAAAACTACAGACCAACAATGATGGTCCACCAATAATGACTACAGAAGTTGAGGATGCAATACATCATATGAAGAAAGGAAAAGCACCAGGGCCAGACAACATCTCACTGGAAGAAATCGAAGCACTGGGAGATTTTGGAACTGAAATAATAACTAAACTTTTAAATGATATTTATAATAGTAGTTATATTCCAAATGACCTTTTAAAATCCATATTTATAGCTCTGCCAAAGAAACCAGGCACTTTAAAATGTGAAGACCATCGCACAATAAGTCTTATGAGTCACATGACTAAGATTTTTATGAGAATAATTATGAGAAGAATAAGAAACTAAATTAAACCAGAAATCAGCGATGAAAAAATGTGGATTTGTTTTACAGATGAAGGCTTAGAATACCTTGGACAGTTAAAAAGAGCAACCAAGAGGTTTTGAAAGAGGCGGGGCCCCAAGAAAACTTATCACAGACATCAGAAGGAGACAGTCATCATTTTTCAGCCATGTTATGAGAAGAGGGAAAACAGAACATGTTGTGACCACTGGAAAGATCTGTGGTAGGAGGGATAGAGGAAGACAACGAGAGAAGATTCTTGACAGTCTTGTTGCATGGCATGGAGATGTATCGGCACACAAACTGATTGATACATGCTGCAGGAGATAGTGGATTATGGAGAGGCATGATCACCCACGCCAGTCGGCAAGGCACCTGATGATGATGATGATGATATCAGAATATAATATTTGTATGTATGTACATAATCTTTTTTTATATATATATGTACATAACCTCTTTTTAATGTATGTACATAACCTTTTTTATATATGTACATAACCCTGTTTTATAAATGGCCATTAACCCTCTTTATGTATAAACATAACCTTTTTTATGCATGTACATAACACTGTTTTATGTATATATATATAAATATATATATATATATATATATATATATATATATATATATATATATATATATATATATATATATATATATATATATATATATATATATATATATATATGTATTTATATATTTTTAACATATGTACATAAAAAGTAGGAACTAGGGCAGCATAGCACCCAGACATCTGCCGGCCAGCCCAAAGTTATAGTGTTTAAGTCCAAATTAAAGTAGGTGTGTTTCAAAACTGATCTTGGCTTCCGGTCGAGGCTGACCCAACCTAAATGGGTAACAGGTTATTACCAGGGAAGTAAAGGCAGCTGGCATGAAGCTGATCACATCACCCACCATATGATTGGTCTACAAAATAAGGTCTAGTACTATGTGTCGGATGTGCCACAAGTGTGAAAATATTTCTTTACTAATTTTTAATTTACATAAAAGAGTGACCTACCTTTGGACTAAGTGGGTCAAGAATGCTGCTCCTTTCCTCCCCACCACTAGGTTCTACGATGCTGAGCTGAGTGGCTCCGCGGTATGCCTCCACACCTAGCAGATTGAGCGTGTTCACTACTGTGTCAACTTCCTCCTGAAAATATCAGCCAGTGTGCTCATTTCATCAACTAAATACAGGAAGAGTTGAGTCAAGAATTGACATCACAGCACTCGGGGCATTCCCATGCACTCTCCGTCCTCGTCTTCAGCAGCCAGCGAGAGTTCCAATACTGATGGTACCAGTCAAATTCTGGTTATTTTTCGGTCTTGCCCTTCCTCTGAGTGTAGTGAGACGGCCAGACCCTCTGGTTACACCCAGGTGCCTCATGCTCTTCAAGCCATAATTACCTTCTTTCTCTACTAACTAAATAGAGGATATCTATAAGAAATAACAGCTTTAAGAATCAGCAACCATTTAGGAACATTTCAGAGCATAAAGAGGGGAGTACAACAAGGAAGTGTCCTATTAACTGATTTGTCTTCATTATAAAGTGTACATATAATTAGATCTATCAAGGATATGCCAGGAACTGTGGTTGGCGGTGATAACATAAATAACCTATGTTATGCTGATACGCTGTTTTGATAGCAACATGTCAGACAGAACTACAAAGACTGATAGATTCAGTAATGGTGGAAAGTGACAGAATGGGCCTCAGCTTAAATAATGTGAAGACAGAAGTAATGGTAACATTAAAGAAAAGAACAGTGCCTAAATGTGTTTATAAAGTTCAAAGGCGTTATTTTAGGACATGTACAAACATTTAAGTATCTAGGCACATGGATACATCTGATGGAAGATGTATCACAGAGATAAAGAACAGAATAGGACAGGCAAAAACTGCAAATTCTAAAATTAAGAACATCTTGTGGAATAATTCCAAGTTTATTTGATCGCAAAGGGCCTTGACCAAATCTAACTTGTCAGGGAACAATTTAAAACCATCACGGGTCTGGCTAATGTAGAGATTTCCATCTCCACCCTGTACTAAAGAAACTTTACTGTTGCAGAGCACTCCTTCTCTTCTTCATGTGTAGGAACCAGTGAGGCGGACAATACAGATACCTAAGCTTCATTTCTGGACAGAAGTATCGTGACCCTTGAAAAGATAGTCACAGACTGACAATCAACTCTGTAGTTAAGTACAATTCAACCAAAGTATTGGGTAAGTAAGGAAGCCACCGTGGTGTAGCAGCTAGATGCTCACCTGCGGATCCAAAGGTCACAGATACAAATCCTGTCTGGGCTTTTATTTACTGACCCTTGTGTCCACGTCAACCCAGGCAGTCTTAAGTGGGTACCAGGCAAAAGTCCTGGGAAGTAAAGGTGACTAGCGTAATGCTGAACACATAACCTACCAAGTGCCAACTGGGCTATAAAATATAGGTCTAGTCTTACATGCCCATCAGGCATGAAGGTGTGAAAAAGGGTCCCTTTTATAATTGGATACGTGAGAGATTTGGTGCTGGTTTTGAAGTCCAGGTGAAAGTCTTAGGACACATATAGTAGGTTATCATCTATGAGATAAAGTGACTAGCTGCATTCTTTGTGCCTTGGTAGGTTTTTCAGACAATCAGTCGACCCAAAAGTTCATTCAGTCAGAGAAAAGAAACCAACCTGGGGGGAAGGAGGAGACCAACAGATAGCAGTAAGCTGGTATATAAATGTGTTGGTGTTACCTTTCCTACCGAGTTAACAGAGCAGCCTGAGAGAGGGATCAAGCTGCATGGGCAACATATGGCCTCTCAAATACTACCCAGGCTTTGTACTATGGAGAGAGGAAACTTCACTCCTGGCCTCAATTGGTCTTGGGAATAATCATGTCAAATACATGTGATGACAACAACGGTCCTGAAATCTCATGCACTTCTCGTGGAAGACTTTTCTTAACGTGAGCTGTTCTTTCTAGTCACACCTGCCACAGCCATGGGCTGTCTTTCTTCTTCTTCTTCGCGTTCACCGGCTGTGAACTCCGGCGGAAAGTTCTGGTTGTTCGTCCACTTCTGGACTGCAGTCCTGTTCCAGAACCTGAGTGTTGCGTGTGCATCCGTTTGACAGATCTGTATGCAGACTCTTGGTTCCTGGCCTCTCGGGCAGATGCACTCAGACTTCAAAGGAAGCTACCAATTAGTCGACTCTTACGACATGCTTTTGGGTAGGCAGTGAGTCTATTCTTGTTTTTCCCATAGTAGGGCCCCGGAACCCACACGGGGGATGGGCTGTGATTTCCAAGCTCCTTACAGCACAATGTAACACTATATATATTTTAAAAATCTTCTTTCGTTCGCTTGAAATAGATTATCTATATCTGCAATGTGGCAACGTCTGTGGCTTAGGCATTGCGACTCCGACTCATAACTCCAAAGTACCGCAATCGAAACCCACTGCTGGCTGCATGGATTTTTATCATCGTGTGGGATGCCTGCCACAGATCGACCCAGCCTTAAATGGGTACCAGGATGTGTGTCCTGGGAAAGTAAAGACGGCCGGCGTATTGCCGACCACATTACCAACTTAGTGCCTATTGTCTGTAAAAATATGGGTGCTCTTCCCATATGCTTGATGTGCCTAAGGCATAAAAATGGATCTCTACTATATCTGCAATATTGTCTCTAGTATAAAGATAATAAAAATTGATGGTAAATATGGTTTTTAAAAACAATTCACTATGCCTTTACCGCTCTAGTTAATTTCATGTAATTTAAGAAAAGAAATTGAAATTCATCCCCTATTCTATGACAAAGAAACAGCTGTCACTACTATCTGTTTTAACACTTTTTAGGGCAGTGTTTACGGGGAAAGGCTGTCAGCCTGAGGATTTTGGGCAGCAGAGCTAGTGCTGTCGCCACCGAGTGTACAGGTTAGGATGTTTTATTTTGCCCCCAACAGAAAAACTATATGACCTTACCGGGGGATCAGAAAGAAATGGCACAGTCTGAAATTGAATAACCAATCAAATACTAACCATGAATATCCTATCTAAATGTAAGTTGCTTATCTTTACAGGACGTTGCAGAACCAACCCCAGCATTTTTTGGCTGTTGTGGTTTTTCTAGGCAAAATTACGTCCAGTAGTTTACTTTCTGAGAGGTCGGCTTCTCGATACCACTGCCGAAACCAGTGCAAGGCGCAAGGCCCGCAGCTGGGATCGAACCTGGCACCCCGGCATTACGAAGCGCGTTCACAGCGCCTAAGCCACAGTTGCCGACTATCTAGATAGATCTAGATATCTAGACCTAGATATCCTATCTACATATCAGAAACTAAAGCGGAGTATTAACAACTGCAGATGTTACCAGATCAATCACCAAAACTATAAAGAAAAGACTGCGGAAATTTATGACCTATATAAAAAGTGGATGCAGAATATAAGCTTTATGATGGAAACTATTTAGACAGAGAGACAGAGCAAGTCAAAGAAACATATACATATCTCTTACTCTTTCTTATGGATGAAACACGAATTCAGTGTTTTTTTTTTCCTTTTTCTGCATTAGCTCTTAAAAAGGCAGTTAGCATACTGTTTTGTGGTTTAAAGCTAGGCTACAATATCTAAACCTTTAGGCTCAACACATCCTATCTCAGCAAACCTTAACTAGACATCTTTTATGACATGTTTGTTGGAGAGTAGTGTATCTACTATTTTTTTCCCCATTAAAAAACTGGCTCCAGAATCTACACAGTAAAAATCAATGTTCACAAAAAATACACCCGTAGATATCGTATAACCTTGAAATTACAAGTCTATAAATTTAAAGACTATTAAAACTCCTAATGAAATTACATTTAACAACTTAAAAAGGTTATAAAACTTACCACTAAAACTGGAAACAACCAAAAGTTATTTATGTAAGCATGCTCTCCTACTGCTTCAAATCCTTCTGGGAGGTTCTGTAGAAAGTACTGCCCCTTAATCTTCTGTAAGTCAAACTCGGACGGTTTGAAGGCTTTCTGGCGATACAACATTGTGGCAAGGAGTGCTGTACTAGGCTGCCATCGAATCATCTCCAGCATTTTATCTGGAAATCCCCGCATCAGTCCAACAAATAATGATTTATAATCTACCCCAAGTCTGCTGAGAACCTCTTGACCAAACTTTGGAAGGAATCCAACTTGCAACCATGAATACAATATAGAATACTTTAACACTTTTTTCAGGTACATTCCAGAAGTCTGTACAGGGTAGGTTTCATAAAACGTCTGCATTTTCTGTAAAATTTCCTGGTCTTTTACTTTGGCAATGCATCCACCAAAGGAAGTGTAGAATTTCATGACTCCAAAACTAAACAACGCTAGATCTGAGTCAGGATGACCTATGTGGCTGAAACCACAGAATGATTCAGCACAATCTTCTATAACAGCAAGGTTAAATTCTGCAGCAGCATCAATTACCGGCTGCATGTTTATAATTCTCCCATACAAGTGAGCTACAACAATGGCTACCGTTTTGGCAGAAATTAATTTTGGCAGAAGGTCAATTTTTGGCTCCAATGTGTCGATGCTTATATCTAGAGGGACTATAACCAGTCCATGGCTTAAAACTATTCTACTCATGTCAGGGATATTTATAGCCGACATAATGACCTCTGAACCAGGTGGAAAATTCTTGACCGTGAGGAAAAGATCAAAACCTGTTCTAACCGACAGCAGGGCCATAACATAATTGGGATTGGATTCACTAATCCAGAGTTTTTGCAGCTCATGCTGTAACATTTTCCTACGCTTGGCATCATGGCTTTGAAGACACTGGCAAACTGCATATCTCAGGTGAGAGAATTCTGTATCTGTATTGAAGAAAGTGGAAGATATTATCAAAATATATTCACATGCTCATCGATAATTCTTCTTGAAAACTTCTACCACATTCTAATGGATGACAGAACAAATAACAAACAAACATGTCATCTGAACTTCAAACGTGAATCCCAAGTCTTGTTATCCAGTCAGGAAATTTCCTTTGTCTCTCCCCAGCCCCCCTCCCCCTTTTTTTTTCCAGTCCTCTTTTCATTTCCTGTCTCTCTAGAACCACTGAATTCGACTACTTTTTATTTTTCAGATTAGTTTACGGCAAACGGGCCGCCCTTACTGCTGCTCCATTTCTGTGCCAGCAACAACAAAATACCCCAAAATATGCATTACTGTCCCTGCCTATAATCCAAGGTCCCCTTGTGGAATGCAATTTTTCGCTATTTGAAGCCCCACCCTGGCTTTTGCCGGGGGCCCTGAACATAGTTGGGTCACAAAAGGGGCTGAAAGGGGTTTCTGGGACCTCTCCCAGGTGATCCTCATCTGAATGGTGGCACTTTGTGTCACCGGGTGTTTATCCATCTGTGTGGTGTGCTCTGGTGGGGTACAACAAACAAGTAAGCAAGCATTACTGTCCCTTGTATAAAAAAAAAAAAACTGCAACAAACTGCAGTCTCAGGAGAGGCAATAACACATGTTTCATGTAAATGTGTTCTCAAAAAGCATGTCACCAGGGCCTCAAACCCTGCTGCATGTCACCAGGGCCTCAAATCCTGCTGCGTCTCACCAGGGCCTCAAACCCTGCTGCGTGTCACCAGGGCCTCAAATCCTGCTGCGTGTCACCAGGGCCTCAAATCCTGCTGCGTGTCACCAGAGCCTCAAATCCTGCTGCGTGTCACCAGGGCCTCAAATCCTGCTGCATGTCACCAGGGCCTCAAATCCTGCTGCATCACCAGGGCCTCAAATCCTGCTGCGTCACCAGGGCCTCAAACCCTGCTGCGTGTCACCAGGGCCTCAAATCCTGCTGCGGAGTCTAGAACAGCAGTGTACACTCTTTTGGTTTTCTCTACATCCCAGCTTACTTCTATAAGTATCTCCTCCCATCTTGGTTCCATGTATGTAAGTATGTATGAATGTATATGAGTGTGTGTCTGTGTATGTATCAGCATGTAAGAGTATGTGTACGTGTATATTTTTGAGTGTGTATATATACAATGTGTGTGTGCAAAAGAATAATGAATGTTGATGAATGTTCAACATTCATTATGTATATTTTTTATACAGACATAACATGAGGTTATTGATAACATTATTGATAACATTATTGATAACACGCAATGGTGGTCTAAAAAACGAGTGTTCAGAAAGGCCGAATGCAGGATGGGCCTGCATGCCCAACCTGTAACCCTTTGAAACTAAGTTCAAGTTCTTAGTGAAGTGATGGAATATCTTTTCGTCCTGTCAAAAATAATGATCATAACCAGCACAGTTTGTGACAGCTGGACTAGCCATGCATCCCTTAATTCTCAGACCCCCAAGGTGGCAAATACAGGCAGAGTCGTTCACGTTTTCGCTCCATAAGAATCTTTCTTAAACAATATTTTAATTTTTCAAATTTCATTTTGAAAAGAATATCCATATATTTCACTACACTGATGTTCTTTTCAGAACGAAATTTGAAAAAGAAAAAAGTAGAAAGAGAGAACGGCATACGATACGATAGGCATACGATGGACTCCCTTCAGCATGCTCAAGGACCTTGATTTTGCAGAAGATATAGCACTCCTTTCACATACACATGAACATATACAAGAGAAAAGTAACAGACTATACAGCACAGCAGAAACAGTAGGAGTGAAAACAAATACATGGAAAACTAAGATCACAATAAACAATATAACACTATAAAACAAAACCAGTGACCAATAATAACCAAACACTTGAAAATGTAGAACAGTTTACATATCTTGGTAGTGTGGTGTCAATACAGGGAGGGACAGAGGAAGACGTACAGTCACGCCTGAATAAAGCTAGAGCTGCTTTTGGAAGGATGAGGCAAATCTTGAAATATAACAGTTACTGCAGAGGAACGAAACTCCAACTCTAAAAAAGCATGATTTTTTCAGTTCTTCTTTATGCAGCAGAATGTGCACAATCTATCCAACTGTCACCACATGTCTACGAAGAATTATCCAAATTTTCTGGCCAGATACAATCTCAAATACTTAACTACTTCAAGTCACAAACTAAGAAACTCTAGACAGTTTGATAACCAAGAGAAGATGGAAATGGTTTGGCCTCAAAATGAGAATGAATCCTGTTATACCTGCCATAACAACTCTCACATGGACACCAGGGGGGAAAAGAAAGAAGGGGTGCCCAAAAACAACACAGAGACGAACGATGGAAAATGAACTGAGTGCGGCATCTCTGCGCAGGGGACAGGAAAGCACGGAAAGTCCTCTCAGAAGCCTCATGTGCCACTAGACATAAAAAGAATTAATCTATTCACTGAAATTCAACCCTAAGAAATTAGAATAAGCAGGAGAAGGAATGTGGCGTCATGATCAGTTTTTATGCCATGGTCAGTTTTTATGCCATGGTCAGTTTTTATGCCATGATCAGTTTTTATGCCATGGTCAGTTTTTATAAACATCCCTGTGGTCAAACCCCTAAGCAGACTGGCTGGCATAAAGTCCTCTGTTTATCTGATGGCATCATGCCCCTAAAATTTTCACTTTTTCCCAGTCAGTAAATGTCAAAATCTGGAAAAGGTTTCTTATTTCAACATTAGCAGAAGTTAACACACAATACAAATCAGCAAAGAATTATCTGATTTATTTCCTTTTGATCAGTGTAAAAGTGTTTTGGTCATTTTGCCAAAGACACAGAGAGCGTGGCGACATCACAGCGAATCCACAATTTTTAAAACAATTTTTTTTCACCCCAAATAATATCCAAATAAAACATGTTTGGATAAATATAATCATAACTACCACCTCTACACACTATACGGTTGCAGCCAGTACTAAAGCCATCACACATGCGTGCTGAGCACTGTCCACAGACATTTCAACCAAAGCCATCACACATGCGTGCTGAGCACTGTCCACAGACATTTCAACCAAAGCCATCACACATGCGTGCTGAGCACTGTCCACAGACATTTCAACCAAAGCCATCACACATGCGTGCTGAGCACTGTCCACAGACATTTCAACCAAAGCCATCACACATGCGTGCTGAGCACTGTTCAAAGACATGTCAACCAAAGCCGTCACACATGCGTGCTGAGCACTGTCCAAAGACATGTCAACCAAAGCCATCACACATGCGTTCTGAGCACTGTCCAAAGACATGTCAACCAAAGCCCATAAAAGCAGGACAAATGGCTTTTCTGGGGTGAAAGTTTCAATGCACCTTGCCATTTAAAGATGCAGGCCTGTTCTCTCTTTGGACAAATCTCTATGGAGAGTACCTTGATAACAATGCTTGTAAAACCGCCTTTCTAAATAAAGCAAAAAACACCAAATAAGATAACACACTCACCAATAGTGATAGGAAAATAAGGAAGTGCTGGAAAATCCATTGTAGCATGTAATTACAGCACAAAAACAGTTGGGTTACACTGGAAGAAAAAAAAAAGATGCATTAAAGTTGTATCTTTTAATATATTCAATGTGCTGTTGATTTTGCTAATAGAGCAAAGCATTGAACTGAACTCACCACTTTACATTGGATTTATAGACTATGAAAAAGCATTTGACAGCATTGATAGGGAATCTCTCTGGAAATTGATGGGGCACTATGGAATCCCACAGAAAATTATCAACTTAGTAAAGGCAACATATAAAGACATGAAATGTCGAGTTCTTCATGTGGGAAAGCTAACAGATGCATTAGAAAAAAAAAACAGGTGTGCGACAGGGATGTCTTTTGTCGCCTCTCTTATTTTTACTGGCTATAGACTGGACTATGAAAACAGTAACTGCTAACACCAAGAATGGAATTCAGTGGACCCCTACAAAACAGCTTGATGATCTGGACTTCGCTGATGATATTGCTCTTCTGTCCCATTCACGGAATCAGAAACAAGATAAATTAAATATACTTAATGCGAGATCACAGCAGCTTGGTCTGAAAATCCATAAAGGAAAGACAAAGATAATGAGAATAAATCAGGCAAATAGTAATGTGGTTTCTCTTAATGGCACCCCACTCCAAGACGTGGAGTCGTACACCTATTTAGGCAGTAATGTAGATAAAGATGGAGGAACTGATAGAGATATTAAAATAAGAATACAAAAGGCAAGAGGGGCTTTCATAGCATTAGGGAATTTGTGGAGGTCAAAAGAAATTACTTTGGGAGAGAACTAAACAGGCTCCAGTGGATCAGGAGGTGAGGAAAAGACGCTGGCGTTGGATAGGGCACACACTGAGAAAACAGGAGAACAGCATAACTAGAATGTCTTTGCATTGGAACCCACAGGGGCATAGGAATAAAGGAAGGCCAAAAAACACATGGAGAAGAGAGCTGGAGAATGAGGTTAAAAAGATTGGGAGGACATGGGGAGAGCTCCATGCAATGGCGAAGGATAGAACGACTTGGCGTGAGTTGGTTGAGGGCCTATGCTCCATTGGGGGATAGAAAGGCAGAAGAAGAAGAAGTTTCAATTTTTTTTGACTTCCATACATTTTCTAGTGCTATGAAAGCTTCTCCTGCCTTTTCTATTCCTATTGTAATATCTCTGTCAGTTCATATTTTCGTACTCCTTGTAATTTGTTCACTTCAACAGCAGTTGTATATGACATATAATACTCTGGGGTAAATGGAGGAACATTGCTGTAGCTACGGAGTTTCCTGTGGATGGCGACACAGTCGGACAGTTTCTTATCAGCTGCCCGTACTGGTGACAGAACACTTATGGTTTATAATCGTGTGCAGTGACGCTGGTTCACATCTCTCGACTTTACCTTTTGGCAGCCGACGTCAGTATTTGTTTTCCTCTTTTAAGAAGAAAAATAGGCTATCTTTCAAATAATGGACGTAAATTATCAAAGCCAAAAATATACCCTAACAGGGCCTCTGTCACATGTCAATTGCGGACTTCCGGCGACTTATATTGCGCACTTCCACCACCAAAGAGAGTATCTCCGACGCTGCTACGTGCGGCGTGGATTGGGGCTAGACTAGATGGCTGAGACTCACGAGCAGCAGCTACCGCATCTCCTGCAGCTTCCTTCATTTTATTTGCTCCTGAGTCCCAGCCATCTAGTTAAGCCCTGCTCCACGCAGTGCGCAGCGGCGTGGGAGATACCCTCGGTGGTGGCAGTCGCCACATACTGAGGCCCTTTTAGGGTATATTACTTGCTTGTGAGTCCCAGCCATCTAGTTTAGCCTTGGTGGTAGATACTTTCGGTGGTATGCTGTGTAGTCGCCGGAAGAGATCCACAATTTACATGTAACTGAGGCCCTGTTAGGGTATATTTTCGGCATCGATAATTTGGGACCGTTATTCGGAGGATAGCCCATTTTCAGTAACCAGTGTGACTGGGCAAAATCTGTGCTTTCTGGCCGTTAATCTGGTCGTCGCTGAAGCTACGGATTTAGTACTCTGCGCGTCATTCTCGCTTGGCAGGCGGTTAGTCATTCTGCGGAGAGACTAAGACTAAGAGACCCATCAAAGATCAGAGAGATAATGATGATCATTTCTGTTCATCGAATTTTTATTTTATATGCAGTGATATTGACATTCATCATTCATTTGAAGATAGATTGATAGAATGAAATCGATCCTCTCGACTTTTAGGAACAACAGCGTTTACACCAACCTGAATGATGGATGCAATTCTTATCCAAGACTCTAGCGACATGATATTAGGGCGTTGGAGCTCAGTTTCAAACGAGATACATCAAACCACAAACCAGTCCACCAGCAACACGTTTCTCCATCTTCGGTGTGACGAAGGTTACGTTTGTTTACCTCATCATAGTTACCTCCCCGTGTCCGATACCCCGCCTTCACTTCCCTATTCTCAGACATTGTCATGTGCTGTGCCGGGAGGCGCGCGTAGCTAGTCCATGGCGCGTTTAAGATAGGGGTAAAAAGTAAAGGACTGTTTTTCACGCCTTTAGGCACACTGGGCAAATAGGGCTAGATTTATGTTTCATAGGCCAATCGGTACTCGTTGGTTAAGTGGTCAACATGACACAGGCCCCTTTACTTCCCATGACTTTCCATTTAAGACTGAGTCGACTTGGGAGCATCTGACGAGAATGTCCTAATAACAACTGCCACAGACAGTCAGCTGAATACATAATTAACACAAGCAAAAGATAAGACCACACAAAGAACGGGACGATGACAAGAAGAAAGACTTTCCAGAAATTAAGACCAACTTGTTTAACAAATATGAAAAAAAATACAAACGATCATTACATTTCCCTTCCCCGTCCAAACGCAGGAGCGCATTCACACACATACATTTCGCTGAGGTAACCTAGTACTAGTAGCAGTAGAAGTAGAAGTAGTAGCAGCAGTAGTAGTAGCAAAAGTAGTAGTACCAGCAGCAGCAGTAGTAGTTTTTTAGATGTATTTATTTGCTTACTTTGTGTGTGTGTGTGATGTGGTCGTTTACCCTGTGGGCTACATCCTGAATTTTTCGTTTTCTCACTCCCGATAATTCAGATCGCATCCTAGTTGGTAAGCAAAAAAAAAAAAAAAAAAAAAAATGCACATTCCAGATCCCTCACTCAAGTTCTAAAGGAGTTTGATAATAACAACACCCATAATTTTATAAATACTGTATATGGATGTCAAGGGGACTTGAAGACAATACTCGGAATAGCAGCAATTTAGGAATACTAATGGGCGTTGGTGAGGCACACAATAAATTCGCATGTGCAAGATGTGTAGACAAAATTGAGCGTTAGCGGGTGATGATTAAACTGAAAGTGGCATCAGTAAATCACGTGATATTTTCCTTCTCGCCGAGAGTAAGCGTGGACAGCCAGCATAGTAGTCTCAAGGGTCATGGAGACTCAGGGCTGTAGTGGCTAAGACTCTCAGGCAGTGGAGCTCACTAAATATTTACCCTAATGAGTCTCTGGGTCTAGTCTTATATGTGAAAAGGGTCCACTCAAGTGGTAAGTCCTCTGACCTGATAAACCTTTCTATAGTCAAGACCGTTGTGCGTGACGGAAAAAGCCCATCCTTCCCGAGGTGACTCCGTTAACAAGGACCTCGCAGTCCTGGGACAAAACACAACGGATCTAGAGGAGACAACCTCGATTTAAAAAAAAAAAAGACTAAAGTGGATCTACGTGCTGAGAGACAGAATGGCTGTGGGATAGGCAGTCGTGAACGTGGACGTCTAGTTAGCGGGAGGGGCGGTGCCAGGCGTATGGACTTCATAAGGACATCCATTGCCTCTTTCATAGCAAGCAGGCTCTACTAGGGTGACCGATTATTTCCTGCTTTATAACAACTTCAACAAATGGATGTTTCATGTTCATTTAATAAGAATTGTCGCCGGAGCTACGGAACACGTATTCTGCGCTTGACATCATCTTCAGCAAGCAGCGAAGAGAGAGTGAAGCGGAGAAAACGAGGACATTGTGAGAGAAGAAAGCAGAGAAATAGAAGGGCAGGAGCCTGGCGGCGGGGGTTCAATCATGTGAGAATGTGTCGCAGTGCCAGAGGCCTATACTAGAGAGGCTGATTTACAACTTTGATGTAGTCATGCTTCAAGTCCTTAATGCAGACAAATATCATTACCCTGGATATGTCAGCTACGTAAACCCTGCTGGACATCATGGGAGACATGGTCAATGTTTGCTAGTGAAGGAGGCATTGAAACATGTGGTGCTTGGCCTAAGTCTCTGGAGTTATGACGCTAGAGAGGTGCAGGGAATACAGATGGAGATTGGTGGCCTACGCTGGAACATAATTAATGTATGTGCTTCAGGGTGCTCTTTAGTTACAAAACAACAGTGGGACTGGTTGAAAGACCTGGAGGGGATTTCTGGCAACAGGCTCCTCATTTGTGGGAATTTCAATGCACAGAACAATGAATGGGACAGTACTGGGGAAACTGACAGCCCATGCTGACGACATGGTTGATTCAGACCTTGTCTGTTTAAATGATCGGACGCCGACTAGAATGGCAATGAGGTCCTGCGATGCAGACACGGTTATTGACCTGGCTCTGGTTACCCAGTCAGCAGTACTGGACACCAAATGGACTGTCCTAGGCGATCATGGAAGTGACCATCTGCCATGTTCAGTATTGATTTCCAAATCCAGGAAAGTCAAGGCTTCAAGAGCTTATAGGCCTTTTAAGTATGAGTGGACTAACACCCTTTTTAGACTCCTCCGACAGAGGGCATGTAAGAGGGCCGGCCTAGCGGCCATCTTAAAGAACAAACATTATGAAGTCATAATAAAGGTGGAAGATGTAAAAAGTGTTCTGAGAAGGGCGAAAGACACTGTACCCGGGCCCGACGGGATTAGATATTTCCACGTGAAAGACATAAGTGATGCAAACCTGTTGGAGATGACTGCTTGCTTCAACCAGAGCATTAGGACA